CAAGTAATAATACCTTATCTTTCTCAAATTCTAAAGTGTGCAAATAGCATATACATAACCAATTTTACCAATTATTGTTCACACACATATGACCATCTTAAGTCCATCCTCCATACATCCCTAACTGAATTCATAGGTGACTCTAACTATTTCCTAAGAAATTAGTCCTCACCCAACCTTCCATAGGTGAATTCCCCCTTTACTGACGCTAGAGGTGTCGTTGACTCCTATTTGCACCTTTCGAGCACTAAGGAATTGCTAAACTGCCTAAATTTTTCATGGAATAGTCCCCTAAATTGGCTACACTATGTGTCCCCTGGTGTTACCTAATCCATATGGATTTTTCATGCTTATCTCTTTAATACTTGCAAACTCGAAACCTATACTTAAAAAAATAAAAATAAAAGAAAAAGTAAATAGTTTTATGAACTTGGATTTTATTCACCTTAGCCATGGTTAATCCTTATTTGTAAGGGTTGTATAATTGGTAGAGTTTAGAGTGGCTTAGTGACAAAAATCATTACAACTATACCCTAGTTTAGTAATTTACAATGCTTTCTTTTGCCTTCTGCTATGTGTGTGTGTAGTTTAAGATTTAAGCTTTATTAGGCCTACAACTTTTGAAGTCTATTAGACCCCAATTTAATGTAGTGTTCTGGACTCAACACCTTTCATTATTGTCGGGTCAAAAGATAATTGTTTAGTAAAGTGGGCTGACAACTAGTCACACTCTTCTACCACCCAATCATAGATGAAATAGTCTAGAATTATGTATCATTACCACGCAGTAAAAAGGGAAAAACACATAGTCATTATCAATAGTATAACCTAACTAGGATAGCATAACACACATTCACACATTATTGATTTGGTTCTTATTTTTTTAAAAAAAAAAAGTGAGACTGTTAAAATTTGTTGACATGCATACGGAATATTGATAGAAGCCATGTAAATAAATAAAAAAAGAAAAGAAAATACAATGCAAGAGATTATATTGATGAAAAATAAATTGATTTAAGAGTTAATTTATTCTCATTTAGCTACATATACATGTTAAGTTATCAATATACTCTTTACACATTAGATTATTTTAAAAGTTAATTTATATTTTAAAACTTAAAGGACTCATATAATATTTTAATAAAACATAAGGGGCCAAATTAATAAAAATTAAAATTGAGAAATAAAACCTATAATTGAGCCAAATTTAAGAAACTAAAAATTTAATTATCCTTAAAAACTGAAAGTTTCATTGTCCTTAAAAGAAAATTACATCCCCATTCAAACATTCATATTTGGATATAGAAATTTTTTTCCCAATCAAATGAGGCTTTATTTTTCCTCAAAATTAGACCTTAATGAGATTCAATGAATCTCTTGAGTGCAATAAGCGGAGAGAACTCCCCCCAAATCAGTATGTTTTTAAAATAATGTAGTAAGATTCGCAAGCCTCAAGTGCTAGTTGTGCAATTTGTTTTCATCACACTTTCTTTAACTTGTGAACGCACATTATCTTAGTGCTCTCTCTTCTTTTGTGTGTGCGGGAATTGGTCCATAGCACTATAACCCTGTGGTTAAATAGGAAGAAAAATAAGAAAGAAAAAAAAAACTATAAGAGAAATTTCTTAAGAATAAAAAAATTATTTTAAAAAATTTCTCTTCTTAATTTTTTCACTTTCTTATTTTCTTTTAACTTTTCCCCATCCAAATTAAGCAGTTATATTCATAACACATAAACACTAAAGCTTTGGGGGGGGATTTTAGCCACCAAAATGAAATCAGAAATTTTTTTCACTATATATAGAATTGGAATTAAACAAGAGAGAGGAGTGGCTTGTTTTAATTACACTTGCTGGTCTGAGGGAGTTCATACATGATTTTTCTCCTTAACTTTTCATTTTTCAGGAAGTTGATATTATTTTTAAAAGTAAATATAATATTTATTATTTTAAATATTGAAGATATTAATACCATTTTCATTTTACACTAAGGTTGTGTTTGGAAGATAGATCTAAGGAGTTAAAGGTATTTTCAAGAAATATTATAAAACAGTCGAGCATTAGAAGTTATGGGTCCTTTATTTGGAAATTTACTTCCCTAGTTGTCTATCTTTATTTCTCTTTTAAGAAAACTCAAATTTTTCATGAATAAATAACAATTAATTTACTTCTCCTCTTAAATATTATAACGTTTCATCCTAACAATAGTTGAGTTGAATGGGGAAAACTTAATTCTTTTTAAAGTAAAGTTGATATTTAAAACCTCATAAATAAAAAATTATATTAAGAGATTTGTACTAATCACACTGGACAATACTCAAATTTCTTTCAATCTTACCAAATATTATCAAGTAATTGTATTAAAAAAAAGAAAAAATTAATTATTTGGTTCTTATTACTTTAATTCAGTTATAACTCAGTCTCAAAATTTTAACTCAATATAATATAGTCCCTATAGTTTTAATTTGATTGTAACTCAGTAAAAAACTTTGACTCTTACAACTCAGTTCTTATAGTTTAATTTTAATTATTATATTGATCTTTATGTTTTAAAATATAAAATATAAAAATTATTTTAAAACTTAAGACTAATATTTTAAACTACTAAACTCTTCTAATCTTTATAAATATTTTAAACATTAAAATTTTTAAATAGTTTTAATCTTTATAGTTTTTTTTTAAAAAATACAAGGAATAATAATTTTAAAGGGTTAAAATTATAAAGACTAAATTAAAGAGAAAAATTTAAAAAGTGAATTATAATCAAGTTAAAACTATAAAGACTGAACTACAATAAGTTAAAATTCAAAAAATGAATTATAACTGAGTCAAAAATATAAATACCAAATGATTAATATTTTTTTTAAAAAAAAAAAGAATGTTGTCGGTGGAGATTGAATTTATAAATAGCCATGAAACTTGGAAGCTAGTTGCTTTCCATGGCAATCCACGCCTCAAAATTCTAATCATTGATTTGTGGACCATTTCGCCAGCATGATAGGTAAGAATTGAACAATATTGCATCTCTCACTGACTTTTGCTCCTGCGACATTGAATAAAATTGCTTCTTCTTTTTCAATATTGTTGGTCAGATGAACGATTAGTGCGATGGAGATATGTTCCAAACTCAAACCGCACGCATCAAGAAATGAACATTTTTTTAATGACCAGACAATGCAAGGTGCGTCGTTGATGAATACTTTCTTTGTTCTGATTTATAAAATATTTTTAAATAAAATTACAAATACTAATAAAGTTTATTAAATATACTTTATAATATATTTTTTTCAAAATAAGAATATAAATTTCAAAAAATGCTCTTCACTTAACATTTTATTTGTGAAATAATATTAAAGAGATAGAAAATATCATTAATGAAAGGTTAAGAGTCACTTTTATTCCTGGACTTTCTTTTAGGATTTGTCAGTACTCTGAACTTGACATTAGGTCATTTGTGTCTTTGAACTTTTGAAACGTGTTGCCTTATCACCACACCATTAGCACGCCATAATGTTTGTTTGTTGTTGGAGTGAGACCCACCAATTTTTATATTTTTTATAATAAAATATTGGATTAAGTGTTACTTGTGTCTCCAAGTTCAGATAAGAGCAAGTAATTTGGGCCAACCCGAAAAGAGTTAGGGTTAAGATTGGCTATATAAACTTTTTTAAAGGATAAATTAATTTAAATTGATCCGAATAAACCGGCCTAAATTGAACCCACCACGAATAAGCTTGACCACCAACTCTGTATGTATGTAATGCTAGTAATTCATGCTAAGCCCAATGGTCCAACTTGAAAAAAGAAAATTAGAGTGAAGCTTGACAATATGAGCTTTTTTTAAAGGGGTAGAATATTTTAAACCTAATCCAAATAAACTTGACTTGAATTAAGTCAAATTTGAATAAGGTTAACTTACCCAAATTATTAACTTTATTTCAAAATACCTATAAATTCTAAAGTAAAAGTTTATGATACCGGCGGACTCTAAGGGAAATATTCAAAGGCAAAAGTGACATTTAATCAAATATTTTATTATAAAAAATAATAATAAATGGTTGGACCCACTCCACTAGAAACAAATGTTATGGCTTGTTAATAGTGAGGTGACAAAACAACACATCTTGAACTTTTAGGGATACAAATAACTCAAAATCAAGTTCAGGGAATCCACAAACCTTAAGGATAAAGTTCATAAAATAAAAATGACCCTTAACCCTAAATGAAACCTTATTTTTTTTAGAGTGACTTATATTATGAAATATCAAATATTTTCCAAAAAAAATTTATACATTGGTACAGAGTTATTATCTTTAGTTGATTCTACAAATAATATTTCAACTATATATATACTGCTATATGTCTTTGCCTCCAATTTAAGTTTGAATAATGTTTCTGACTGGTCCATCCATATCCTAAAAAGGGCCAATTAATACTGTCAATAATAATACTCATCAATGGTATTAGTCGTCAAGTTAAAGAATGTCTATAGGACCAAATTATATGCGCATAATGATAATGTTTATACCCATGAAGCAATAATAATGCTTGCAATCATACTCTACCCATATTGTTTCTGTACCTTTCTCTCTCCCCCCCCCCCCCAAAAAAAAAATTGTCCTCTATGCATGAATTACATGATATATGATTAAGTTATTTCTGCAGCTAATGACCAGATCATCCAATTTAGAAACCGCTATGCTTGAAGAAATGATAGCTTGTAATAGCTAATCAAACTACAAAACGTGATGCAATTGGACCGAACACACACACACACTCAATAAACATCATCTCGTTTGGGTATGTCTGAACGGGAACTTCATTTCAACACCAGAAGTCAACAAAGTGCACAGCAAAAACTGTACCGAGCAATATAATAGCTTTTCAAACGCATTACGTAAAACCCAAAAAGAAAAATAATCATGAATCAAAAACCATGATAAGAAACCACGCTCAAAACTAATCAGCCCCACTACCGCCGCCACTCTCTCTCTCTCTCCCCCTCTCTCTCTCTCACTAGAATCTTTATATGGACAACCTCAAAGACATGACCTCATATATATCACCATCTTCTTATCTATCTTCTCCTCAAAATTAAATGGAGAAGACCGTTGTTCTGTCTTTTCTCTTCCTTGTCCTCCATTTAGCACCAGCAAAAGCTTCTCTTAATGTCGGTGTCGGTGTCGGTGTCGGTGTCGGTATTGGTATCGGAAATGGTGGCGGCCGCGGTGGAGGAGGTGGTGGAGCAAATAGCCCACCAGAGCCGTCTGGACCATCATTGTCAAAGATGGGCGTAGCTTACAAAAGTCTCCAAGCATGGAAATCAGCGATTACTGATGACCCATTGAGGATTCTTGATACTTGGGTAGGCTCTAACGTTTGTTCTTATAAAGGAGTGTTTTGTTCATCAGATTCGTCATCAGGTGGTCCTGCTGTTACAGGAATAGATCTCAACCATGGAAATATTGAAGGAACTCTAGTCAACGACCTATATTTACTCACTGATCTATCTCTTTTTCACCTCAATACCAATAGATTCACTGGTACACTTCCTGAAACATTCCAAGACCTTTCATCTCTTGAAGAATTAGACCTAAGCAACAACCAGTTTTCAGGTGATTTTCCCTCAGTTATCTTAAACATGCCAAGTCTTATCTACTTGGACCTCAGATTCAATTCTTTCTCTGGACCCCTCCCGGATCAACTCTTTAGTAAAAATCTTGATGCAATACTTGTCAACAACAATCAGTTCCAAGGCGAAATCCCACAGAATCTGGCTAGTTCCTCAGCTTCTGTGATCAACCTAGCTAACAACAAGTTCACTGGAAACATCCCAATAACTAGTTTAGGGTTGGTGCGTGGTTATAATTCTAAGCTGAAGGAGATTCTATTCTTGAATAACCAGTTAACAGGTTGTATTCCTCAAGGAATGGGATTGTTCAGAGACGTGCAAGTTCTTGATGCGAGCTTTAATTCATTGGTGGGTCATTTGCCAGAAACTCTTTCTTGCTTGCAAGACATAGAAGTGCTTAACTTGGCTCATAATCAGCTTTCTGGGGAACTGTCAGATGTGATATGCTCGTTGAGGAGTTTAGTGAATCTTACTGTGGCGTACAATTTCTTTAATCGGTTGAGTCAGGAATGTTCGAGGCTTTTGATTCGGAATGTGGGTTTTGATTTCTCCGACAATTGTATTCCTGGGAGGGACATGCAAAGACCTCAACCAGAATGTTCTTTGATCCCAGGTGGTAGCCTTAGTTGTCTGAGAATCCCCATACCAAAGCCTCTTGATTGTGCTTCATTGACGATAATTCCGCCTTCCCCTTGATTTATATTTGCAAAAAGATATTATATCTTGTTCGAATGAATATAGATTATTTGGCTCAGATTAATTCTGATCTCATTATTCTCACCTTCCCATAGTTTATGTTTGAGCGATATTCAGGTGGTTGTTGAGGGACGATTAGCATATATCCGTATCCTATTAGAGGCTCAGTAGTATATATCATGAGAGGAAACGTGAAGGTGGTGAAAAGATGTTTACAAATACTTGGTAAAATTGTACTTTTAATCACCTTTACATGAAGTTTTAATTTTTTTTTTATTTATAGTATTTTTTTCAGTTTTCTAATTGTAATATCGTTATTTTCAAATGATATTTTTTTTGTGTCAATTATTTTGTTATATTTAAAAGTTCAATATCATCAATCTTTGTTGATAAAACTAAGAGTATTAAGATTAAAAGACTGAAATGATACTATATAAAATCAAAGAACTTGAAATAAAACCTAATGTAAAATTAAAAAAAAAACTCAAATAATTAAGTATCCTTATTTGTTTTAATCTTCCTTTGGCCAAACCTTATTTGTTTTAATCAATGGTTAGATCCATGGATGCTTATTGTACAAGACAATAAATAGCTAAAACCATACAAGCCATTATTATTATTATAAAATATAAAATTTACAATAAATTACATAATTTTATATGTTATGAATAATATGGGTTATTTGCTAAATTTTGTATTAAAATTACAGAATCTATAAGTTGGAAAAAAGAACGTAATGTCTGCAATCAATGCAAATGAAGGTAAAAAAATTGCAAATTATATTCTCATGTTATTTACCATGGTGGTGGGATAAATCACAAAATTATGAGAAATTATAACATCCAATAAAACAGTTAAAAGATGAAAGAAGATAACAGAAACAACTCGTATAGTCATGAATGATGTAACTTATAATTGAAATAAAATATCTGTTAAACTCTAATGACTTCAGATAAATTGGGACAATTTTTACTTTTCTTTTTTTTTTTTCCAAATGTCTCTTTTCTTATATAAAGCCATAAAACTTTAGATACGAAGTTCAGTAACTAGTATTTTGCTTTTAAAATAATGTCAAAATGTTTTTTTTTAATCTCAAATTTCAGAGCATCCAAACTTATACGCTCAGATTTCTCATCGTTTCATCCAGGTCAATAAACTCTGACCAAAGAAAGGTTTGACAAAATTAATGAAAAAAACAAAACTTTAATTCTGGTACTTTACTCGCATTTTATTACTATATTAAAAAAAATATAAAAATTTAAAATATCAAAAAAAATATAGAAATATATGATAAAAAAAAATTGTAAGGACTCAACGTTATATATATTTTTTAAGTTAATGCCTGAAAAGTCATCATGTTTTTTCGGCTCACAGGTGATTATGGTTATAATTTGAGGACCATATATTTGGGCCCATTGGGCAATTAGTGGGCTTCCGCGTGCACGGGAAGTGGGAACGGATCTCGCCCGAACTTTCACCGAATGGAATCTTCTGGGTCTTCCCGAAAAAATGAAGAGGAGTCTTCGGGGTCATGCACCCTAACTCGTTCAGCCTCACCAATTTGTTTCTTAGAGGACATTCTAGTACGCTAACTTATTTTTGCAGAAGCTTTTCGTTCATTTTTGGTGTCTGAAGTCTGAACGTTTCCAGGAATCTGAGAATTTTATGTTGGGGATCTGAAACTGAGTCTCTCGAATTAGCTTCTTCAAGCGGAAATGTCTTCTCCTGCTGAGTATATTCTTCTCTCTCTCTCTCTCTCTCTCTGAGTTTGTTTTCTTGTTCTTTCTTGCTTCGACGTTTCTGTTGCATTAGCTAAATGAGACTATGCTATCCGTTAGTTATCTGCGTGCACCAGTAAGGATTGCGCTTTTCTTGGTGCACAAGAATGTAATTTGAGTATGTGACCTTTCTTGTCTCAAAATTTGGCTTGTTCTACTGCAATTTTCCATTTAAGAACAGTCATGGATTCGCTGTGTGTAAACCATTTGGGCATGGTTCATATAATAATCTTTGTTTGATTGATTATTTCAATTCTACTGGTCAGCAAGGAGGATATTGATCCTATCCTAATTGCTATACTCTAACTTCATTTGGAATTATTTGAGTCGATGTTAACTGCATTAACACTTAACATGATGTTACTAAGCCAATTCCCTGATCAATTTCATCGAGGTGGTAACAGTCTATTAATTTTTAGCGCATGACTTTGACAATTCTCCCCCTGCTACTAGCTTGCTGCATTGCTGATAACTGGTAGTTCACTTTGGTTGTTAGATATCTTTTATTTTTTGCTTATGACATAGTCGGTTCCATAGCTTTGTCAAACCCGTAAAATATTTCAAATTTTTATCTCCTTTCAGATTTTATCACTCACTTCCACCTGTAAGCAAGGCTTATGGCACCCTTTGCCTGGTGGCTACTACAGCTTTTCAACTTGGATTATATAATCCAGTACATATTGCGTTGCTGTACGAGGATGTGTTCTATCGCTTTCAGGTCAGGGTTCCAGGGGATATATATATATATATATATATTTAATAAAAGAAGATGTGTAATGTTAATGCTACCCTTGTATTCATTCTAAGTTTTTATTTCTTAAAATTCTATCAGCTTGTTCTGATGTTACCAATAAATAACTTGATTGCGCTTGAGCTTAAGTTTATTCTAATGATTGATTTGTAAAGTTGAGAATGTTAGAAAATTAATTTGGTGACTTCAGCCAAACTATTCAACATTACCTTGTCTATATCACATTATTTGTAGGTCTGGAGGCTGTTCACAAACTTCATTTTCCTTGGGAAATTCTCTATCAATTTTGGGATTCGTCTCTTAATGATGTAAGTAACTCCAAGATCAGATGCTTAACATGCTGTTTTCTAGTCTATTAAATTAGAGAAATTGAGAAAGCTAAGAAGAGGTAGCTTATATTTCTTATAATCTGTTCTTGCAATTTCAGAGCAAGGTATGGCGTCCAACTTGAGAAGGGACCATTTGACAGGCGAACTGCTGACTTCTTGTGGATGATGATATTTGGAGCCTTTACTCTATTGGTGTGTAAGATCATCTCAATATACATTTTACATACTGTTGTTAATTTGTTTAGTGTGTGTGTGTGTGTGTGTCTTTATGCGTGTGATTTTTTTACCTTCAAAATGAATTACAGTTTTGTTTTTATAGAAGCCATTTTACCCATTCTGGTTGTTTGAAAATAGCTAGAAGATGAGGGTAAATTATGGCTGATTCCATTTCATGGTTTTTTTCCCCTCCGTTAGGCCCTTCTTTCCTATTCTATCAATTATGCACTTAAAGTTATGCTCCTTATCTCGTACAAATTCTAACATATAAGGGAGGAAATTAGTTATTTCAAAACATATTTGGGTATAATAAAATGATTGATTTATATGCATGAGGTTGTAAGGAATATTTCATATAAGAGGTTGGATCACATCCATTGAAGTAGTTTATAAGCATTAAGGATGATAGAATAAACTATCGAACATTCAAGGGAGACTTGTTGCTGATCTGCTGAAGGTGGTCATTGATCAGTAAGAGATGGTTTGCAATTTACATCAGGCAGTAACTGGAGACCAGGAGAGATAAATGCTAGTTCTCTCTAGGAAGGGGAAGTTCCAATAAATAAATGTTTGAACTTGCTGTGCGGCTTCCATATTTCAATGGAGAAAGTCAATAGAGAAATTACAAGGACATTAGAGGGAAATTAATTTTAGTGAAAAAAGACATTTTAGTTGTTATTCCATTTAGTCCTGTTTCACACTTTTCTGCTAATATCAGTTCTGTTTGCTTGTGCCATCACGTCTTGATTATAGGTCTTGTCTGCCATCCCTATTTTTTGGTCCCCTTTCTTGGGAATATCACTTGTTTTCATGCTTCTTTATGTCTGGAGTAGAGAATTTCCAAATGCCCAAATCAACATATACGGACTTGTCTCACTTAAGGTATGTTCAGTCTTATGTCAGCCGGAAGAAATTGTAGTTTTTCTTTCATTTGTCATCAGTTATGTAACCAGGTTAGATCCTGCAGAATTTAATAAGAACGATACCCATGTTATTTCTTCCAGGCTTTCTATTTCCCGTGGGCAATGCTTGCTTTGGATGTCATATTTGGTTCACCCCTAGTGCCAGATCTACTAGGTATCATTGCGGGGCATTTATACTACTTTTTGACAGTGTTGCATCCCCTTGCTGGTGGAAAGAACATATTAAAGACTCCATTATGGGTGTATCCTTGCTGTCCTTTGTTCTTTTAAGGTGTTCAGTTGCTATCACTAGGCACATCGTGATTTAAAATATTTCTATTTTATACTGACATGAAGCCATCACCCATCATTAGGCACATCGTGGCCCATCCCTCCTCCCCAAAAACAGAAAAACAAAAAAAAAAAACAAAATAAAAATTGGGAATAAGGAAAGAAAAGAAAGGAAAACACGAAAATATTACTGAAAACAGATGAAATAGGGTAGAACACTAAAATGCGAGCCTTGCCTGTATTTGACACTCATATTCGTCGTACCTAGAATTACTTAGACATTTCAATTCTTGGTAATTGACACGACAGCGTCTTAGCATCCATAGTTCTGTGGGTCTTACATATGCACAAGTTACTTAGATTATTCTTTGCAAATGTTAAGGCCTATTTACAAGTAACTAGAAGATGTTAAATGATTGTTTTATTTGTGCTCCTTTGTTGATTCCTTAGCTCCCATAAGGCGTCATATTGGTCAATAGCTGAAGCTAGTTTTGTTGTGTTCTTAACTATTATTTCAAAGACATAAATTGGTTGCAAAGTGGGGGTTAAGAGCCCAGCCAATGAACCGTGGCGCGGGAACAACAAATCCTCCAGCGCAGCCAGAGAGAAGCTCGGGGGTGGCTTTCAGAGGAAGATCCTACCGACTCAGTGAGTAGAGGGAGCCAATTTCTCCTCTCAAGTTTCTTGCTTCTGTCCTGATTGGATGATGGCATGACTAACACTTGCACAGGTTGCTAAGCCCTTATATTTCAAATGGAGTGGTAATGAGAAGGATCAGTACATGAACCATGAGAATTCATTGCAAGCAAACTTTGTTTGGGGGCTGCCCCTTTGTAATTTTCTTTGACTTTAGGATGTTTTCTGGCGGAATTTTGAAGGTGGAAAAGGGTTTTAAAAGAAAAATCTTCTGTATTAAGCTTAGCTTATTTACAACTGCTCATTCTTGTCGAAATCATAAAAATTTTCATGTACTTCACTTTTGCTTGATTCACCTCGTAGAAAAAGGCATTTTATTGATTTTCGACAGTATGTTCTCAGCAACCCGCACAATGGACAAGAATTGTACTATATTGTAATCTATTTCCAAGTGCCTCGTTTTTGAGAAATTTTGGTTTTCATGAAATAAAATGAATCAAGCTTTACTTTCAGTCTAACATCCCTAGAAATTTTTACTGAATCCATCTGTACTTTATGTAGTGTGAAAGGGCAAAGATGAACATGAATTCTAGGTTGTGACAACTAATAAGGGCTTGACAAAATTTCTCTAGGAAAAGAGCAAGGTAATGGTTAACCTGAAAGATAGATGAAATGTAAATCATGCAATCAATTGCTTGCTTATTTCTTAAGCAAATGATTGTGGGATTTAATTCATATGAAGCAAATCTAAATGAAAGGTGTTTGTTCGTGGGAAATAACTTTTTTTTGATGAAAGCTTGTTATATTTTATTAAAAAGAAAAATAATACAGTGAAATTGGATATGGATGATAGTGATATAAGGTTGAAATATAAAAGAAATAAGGAGTTAAATGTGGTCAAAGAAAAAGAGAAAGAACATGAGGATGGGAAAGAAAATAGAGTAGAAGCGGTCTCCTAAAAAGAAGGCAAGGATGGCAGTGAATGACGGCCATCTTCATAGTTTGTTATATTTATTTACGTTTTGGGGTGAAAAGGCTCTCTCATATATGCAATTCGTGAAACTCACTTTGCTTCGATTCGAAGAAACAGTTTGATCATCCTGTCTTCACTCTGTGTCAATCAAAATCGTATCAGAAAAATGTCGTGGCAGACTTACGTTGATGAGCATTTGATGTGCGACATCGATGGCCAAGGCCAGCACCTCGCCGCCGCCGCCATCATCGGCCTCGACGGCTCCGTCTGGGCTCAGAGCTCTTCTTTCCCTCAGGTCCTTCCTCATAATCCTCCCAATCTGCTTCCGTTCTTCAACCCACCGATTATTGAAACTGGCGTTGTTTTTTTTGTTTCCGTCGTCTTCTATTCAGGATTTTTTGTTTCTGAATATTTGTTTATTAGAGGCTTCCTTTGATCTATTGGTTACTCTTCTTATTTGTTTAGGAACTAGATTGTGTCTCGTGTTACACGGAATCAGAGTGAGTCACAATGTCTATAACTTATAAATTCTGCAAATGCCGATAAAATTGTTTTTCCCAAATCTCCAATTTCATGTTGAAGTCCTGAAACATATCTCGCTTCTGACTCCCTAGCTCCTAAGAACTCATAATCTCTTATTCTACACGACCATGCATTATGCACTATGTTACGTAATGTATTTCCAGTGTGTGTGTGTGTGTGTGTGTGTGTTTTTTGTATTGTGAATGAAGGAATATGAATCCATATTCACGACCTATTTTTATGAATCCAATTGTTCTGTTCGTGCGTGCTATTACTAGAGTTGTTATCTGTCTGGCACCTAGGTATTTGTATCTGAAAGTTGTACGAATTTGACTTGAACAAGAAGATTATTTAATTCTCAAGTTGTATATTAGTTTCTTCGGTTGAATGGCAATAGAACTTTTCAAGATCTGATATTCTTTGAATATTACTTTCGACTTTCCAGTTTAAGCCCCACGAGATCGAAGATGTGAAGAAAGATTTTGAGGAACCAGGCTATCTTGCTCCCAAAGGCTTGCACATTGGGGGTACCAAATACATGGTAATCCAGGGAGAGCCTGGAGCTGTCATCCGTGGGAAGAAGGTAATTACTCACTCTATTAATTTAGTAGTAAAATCTGCAAGTTGTGAGTCCAAGAGATTTTGTTTTAAACATTTTATCATGTAAAATCTTTGGATTTGGATTCCTTGTGTGACATATCTAATTTAGTCTTAAAAATTTAGTTAAAATATACCAAACTCCCCCAAACTTTGAGATAGATACACAAAACTTTTTATCTTTAAAAATTTAAAATTAGTCTTAACCTTGTCATTTTTTTTTTTAACCGCAGACTCTCCTAATGTTATTTCTTAATCGTTTTGCTAACAGAAGTTACCATGTTATTTTAAGAAAAAGTATGTGGCAACTTATGTGGCATTCAATGGAAGCTAACAATAGCTGAGAAATATGGATAAAATGTTTATAAAACTAGCATTGGCTTACTTCAGGTACCACATATGCTGCCACTTGTTTTTTCTTAATGTGACATAGCACTTCTGTTGGTAAAATAACTAAAAAATAAAAGTAAGGAAGTCTATGATAAAAAAAATAAAAGGATTGAGAAGTTAGTTTTAAACTTCTATAGATGAGAAGTTATGTGCGTCTGCCTCAAAATTAATGAAAATTTTACATATTTTAGCCCTAGATATTTCTTGCATTTGTTTTGATTTGAAGCCATTGAGGTGCCTCATTATCTGCTGCATCTTTTAAAATGTTGTCATTTCACTTAGCACAGAAAACATTGTGGCATGGCAACAATTGCAGATTTGACTTTAGTTAGATGTGAATTCACTAAAAGCTGATAAGAACCTATTCCAACCGTCCTTTTGCAACTCAAAATTAATGACATGGTGCATTCAGGTCATGTAATTTGCGGTATTTTTTTTTTTTTAATTGCCATTGGACAGTTGGGATGGACTCTTACGGCATCTTAACGAATTTTTCTCTCAACAAACGCATGTTTTTTTCTTAATCAAGATGGATGAAGGAGACTTTCCAAGTGTGCTGGACAAGGATCCACTAACTACACTGTGTCTATCTGTAAAATGCTTGAATGGGAACTCAGTTATGTGTGTTAGCATATTGAAGACAAGCAATAAAGAGAAGAAAATGAAGATGATTATGAGTGAACAGTACAAGAAGATAATCTTTCACTTGAAGTATATACAACAACAAATCAACCCTTTACGTTGTTTCATCCCATAGTTTGGGCTTGGTTTACAATCCTTCAAGTGAAGGATTTTCTTGTAAAGTTCAATCATGCTTATTAATGAATGATGTTCAATTTTCTTCTTCTTAATTCAAGTGTTAACAGTGTGCTTTGGATGGGGTAGGGATCTGGAGGCATCACCATAAAGAAAACTGGACAAGCTCTAGTTTTTGGGGTGTATGAGGAACCTGTGACACCTGGACAGTGCAACATGGTTGTGGAGAGGCTGGGAGATTATCTCGTTGATCAGGGTCTTTAGATCTCCACCTCTCTCATGATCCTTTCTAAGTTTTGAACATTCCTTTTTTTTTTTCTTTTTTTTGTTGCCCATATTTTGGGATTATTTCTTTTCCTCCCAGCTTTGGCTCTGCTTCTCCTCCACCATTTCAACCCTTAAATTGAGAGTTATTACCATGCAGACAATAACCCATATGAGAATTTAATCATTTTTTTTTTTGGTTTCCATTTGAATGTTTAAATTACATTATGGTGATTTAGTCATCAATTATTGTGCATTCTCTCAGTGCTTTAATGTTACTGAGTGCTCCCTCGTTTCTCTCTTCGTTATGGGGCCAATCCCTCGTTTATCTCTTAATTTGCTTAATTTCATTAGAAACCGTTTGTCTTCTTTAATTTTTTTTTTTTTTTTAAACTTGCTTGGTCCAAAATATATGATTTTAGGTAGGTATTATATATATATATATATATATTTTTCCAATTACACTCTTATTTTATTAAGTACTTAATGAAAGTGTTTTGAATAAGTTAAATTTACCCTCTCAATTCCAAATTTCATATATCAATAAAGTTCATTAAATATAATTTATAAATTTATTTTTTAAAATAAAAAGGATAAATTATATTTTTAGTCTTCTAACTTTATATAAGATTTTAATTTAACCCTTTAATTTTATAAAATATCTTTTTAGTTTTTTAACATTAATATGATCAGTTTTAAATGATTATTTTTTGTATCAATCATTATTATTTTTTAAAAAAATTAAACTTAATATGTCAATATTTGAAAATGTTTTGTCAATATTTAAAGGTTTAATATAAAAATTTATCGGGATAAAATTAATATTGTTAGGGTTAAAAAATTTAAAAGATATTTTATAAATTTAAGGATTAAAATGAAATTTTGTATAAAGTTAAAAGATTAAATGTATATTTTAGCCAAATAAAAACATAAACTTTTAAAAATACTCTTCATTTAATACTCCATTGATGAAAGAATATTAAAAAGAGAATATAATGAGAAAAGTGATATTAAAAAAATATTATTAATAAAATTATATGTTTGTAAAAATATTTTATATTTTGGGACTTCAAATGTCCTTCAAAAGTATTTTATTATTTATTATTGATGAAATATTTATTACTCTCAAGGATAAGATTATAAGATGTGAACTTTTTTAAAAAAAATCAATATCTTAACCAACTTTTTTAAAGAAATATAAATTAATTAACAATTACTTATATTATAATTTGGATGGAATATGTGAGAGTATTGCGCATTTGATGGTGATCAATACTCTCTCTGTCCTAATTTATAAAATATTTTGTAAAAAAATTATATATATTTTATAACTTTATTTTATTAAAACAAAAATAAAATTTTAAAAATATCATTTATTTAATATTTCATTTGTGAAAAAATATTAAAGAAAAAATTAATGGGAAAAATAATATTAAAAAGTATTATTAATAAATCTTATTTTTGTAAAAGGTTAATTAGCAAAATAGACTTTTAAGTATTACGCAAAAAGCACCTTAGATCTTAAATTCTTAAAATGTGTAAAATAAATTCTAAACTTTTAAATTTATAGCAAATTAAACCCTACCATTATTTTATTATTAACATTATTACTATTCACCATGGCCCCAGTTAAACGCTAATGTGGCAATCCCTTATTGATGTGTCATTTGTTAATTAGTGCTTCAAACCCTAAACTACTATTACACGAGTAATATCATAAATCCTAAACTTTAAAATTTTGAGCAAATTATCCCCATCATTTATATATAAAACATTGACTATTATGTAGATTAAATTAGTCTCAGCATGGTCCACTGTAGTGAATGTATTGTTGGCCATAGCGAACGACCCATAATTTTGTGAAATTATATTTTTTGCCCTTTTTGCAATATTTTCCAAACTATTGGTATCTCATACTTTCATATACTCTATAATTTTGATTTGGTTTTATTTTAAATAATGTTTATTTATTTAATGATGAAAATTTGGGACCCCAATTGAAAAGAATTTTAAGTATCATAAAATTGTATAGATGATGGATGCAAAAGCTGACAATTTTATCAACGAATTTAAAACTCAAATTAACCAATTAATTAAAATCCTCTAATATTTAAACTTCTTTTTCAATGGGATCCTAAGTTTTTACCATTAAATAAGTAAATATTATTTAAAATAAGACGAACTTAGAGTTATAGAGTATAAGAAAGTATGAGATATCAATTATTTGGAAAATATTACAAAAAATAGGGCAAAAAATGTTATTTCACAAAATTATGGGTCTTTCATCATAGTTAACAATGCATTCACCATAGTGGACCACGTTGAAGCTATTTTAATCTACATAATAATTAATATTTTATATATAAATGATAGAGGTAATTTGCTCAAAATTTTAAAGTTCAAAGTCTAGAAAACTACTCGCATAATAGTTTAAGGTCTATGATATTAATTAACAAAAGATATATCAGCAATGGACTGCCATGTCAGCATTTGACTAGGACTCACGGTGAAAAGTAATGATGAATAATAACAGCATTAACAAAAAGTTAATGATAAGGTTTGATTTGTTATGAATTTAAAAGTTTGGAGTCCATTTTACACATTTTCAAAATTTAAGGTTCATGGTGCTTTTTGTGCAATACTTTACGGTCCATTTTGCTTGTTAAATCTGTCATAAAAGTATCTTATATTTTAGAACATTAAATTTTTTTCAAAATTATCTTAGAAATTAGGAATAATTTATATGCCACACCTATATTATTTTATCCAAAAAAAATTAATGATTTAATCTCTATATTTGAAAAATGTAAAATCTGCCTTATATGTGAGAAGGAATTGCAAAGAGTGAGAGAAGACAAACACACCCCCATATTATTTTATCCAGAAAAAAAAATAATTTAAATTCTATCTCAGTTTCTAAATTTTAACATGGTATAACTCAATCCATGTACTTTTAGTAATTTAAACCTTATATTTTAAAAAAATAAATTATATTTATTGAAATTATTTTAAATAATATTTTTCATCTTTATAAAGATTAAACGTTTCAATCACTTAAAGTATTAATGCCTAAATTTTAAAATAATTTTAATATTTATAATTTTTTTAAAAATATAAAGATTATTATTTTAAATTATTAAAACTATAAGAACTGAATTGTATTGAGTCAAAATTCAAAAAATAAGTTTAAAGATGGAGTTATAATTGAGTCAAACTAAATAATTAATTTTTCATTTCATCTATTTTACTTTATTTCCATCTCTCTCTCTCTCTCTGTTTGTGTGTGTGAACATACTCTCATTTGTTACACTGTTTTATTCGTATTTTATATCGGTATAAAGTATACTCAATCTAATGAGTTTAGCAATCTAAAAGATTTGAGAGATGTGAGAATCTCTACAATTGCCATTTTCTTGTGTTTAAGATGACTTACGTGATCATGGCAAGATTTAAAAAAAAAAAACCAGAGACTCATGTCATGAAAATTATCTTAAAGGTTCAATCAATATAAAAAAGTAATTAATATAAAATATTGTTGATATAAAAATATAAAATGCATAACAAGTTTCATTTTTCAAACTTTCTTCAATTCAGAAAATTTGTGGTTTAAAATTATAAAAATTTCTAAAAATTGAAGAGTTTTATTTGTATTTTTTATCTATGGAAATGAACAAGGAGTAGATAAAATAGTATAGCTTTCATTTATTTAGTGAATTTTTATTAAATTATTTAATTTCTGGATCATAATCAAATTTTTTAAAAAATATTATTGAATTTTTTTTCAGATTGATATATATTTTTTTAAAATCATAATAAAATATAACTAAGTTTTAATATTATTATTATTATAATTTAGAAAATTTTTTTGAACAATTTCTTTCTGTTATAAACATGGAGAGAGGGGGGACCTACAAGAGAAAAGATAAAGAATAAAACGATCATATATGATAAATAATCTACGTCCAATTAATTGCAATGATTTTTTTTATCAAAAAAGAATTATATATATGCTTAGAATAAAAAAAATTGTTCAAATTTGATCCTCCCAAAATAAAAAAAATTTAATTTTGTAGTTGAAAAAAATGAAATTCATTTATGGAAAAATTAATTAATTAAAAATTTTAATTTTTATTTAAAAATATGCTTTTTATTTTTATTAAATAAATGATTTTGGACCATTAAAACTAATTCAAAATTTATATTAATTTAAAATAATTTTTTGTCAAGAAAATCGGAGAATTGTCACTGACCACATGGAGAAGTAGGAGGAGAATCCGGTGAGAGGGTCTTTAGATCACTAATTATTAATAATAATAAGGAAAGGGACGTTGCCATGACTTTAATCAGAACCTAAAAAAGAATCAAATTCAAGCCATGCACCATTTTGGTTTCCTCTTTTTCAGATAAGGTGTTAAAAAAAGAAGAGAAATTTTGAAAGTGATTGATATCATTTCAATTCATTTCTTTGCTAATTTTTATTCTTTTAATTCAAGTCTGTCGTGGCAAAAAGGGGTTTGAATGACAGCTGGCCCACGCACTGCGTTCTCACAAATTATTTATAACTTTTTTATAAATTTTAAAATAATTACACAGAATTCTTTTTGTTTTTAAAAATTTAAAATTAAACTTCCTAAACTTTTATTTATTTACGACATACTTTCTTACTATTATTTTTTAATTATTTTTCTAACAGGAGTTATCATACATGTTAAAAAAAGACACATAATAACTTATGTATATCCCATATAAGCTAATAATAATAATAATAAAATATAAATAAAATTTTTATTAAACTATCATTAACTTATATTGAATGTCACATATACTATGTATCTTTCATTTTTAATATAATATAACAATTGTTTTTAGTAACAACCAAAAAATAATGTTACAAGAGCATGTGAATAGTAGAGCCATGATAGCTTGAAGGGTGCAAATTGCACCCCCTCACCTAAAAAAAAAAAATTATATGTGAGGTATTTAAATTTTATAATTTACACCTTTTTACTTTTTATATTTTGCATTCTCTGAATCAAAGAAAACATATTTTGATTTAAAAACTTATTAGATATATAATAATTTAATAATCTAAATAAAATATGAAGAGCATATTTATAATAAAAATTATATTATCATATTTAATATAATTTTTTAAAAATAAAAAATGATTATCAATGTATTTATATCATTACAATTCAGTCCTAACATAATTATTATTTTTTAAAAATATTAATTTTTTATTAAATTATTCTACACTCCCGTAATATGTGGTAAAAAA